TTTCTATCCGATTAAACGAGGTGGGTAAACTTTTAAATAATCCGTTAAATAGAAGAATAATAGCCATGTAAACGCCTGAATCCGATTACATTCCAATCGGTACGTGTAAGTATGTTCTGCGCATGTGCGTCGCGTCACGGCGAAAGTTTACACCGCTCAACATGGCGGAGCAGAAACTGGTCTGGACCTCACGTGATGTTCGCTGTCATGGTAACGTTTACTCTAAGCGCTACTCCACGCACGCGCGTCATTTTGCATCGGATTACTTGTAGTGAGCATGTAAACGAAGGTTTTCCATCAGATTGTTGAATAGAGTGCATATAAACACCTCAGTCTACATCTGTAATCGGATTGTATTCAATCGGATTGGCAAAAATCGTTGCATGTAAACATAGCCAATGTAAGTGAACTCTAAAGAGGACTCAGTTTTCTTTCTGGTCCTTTGGGATCTCAGACCACTTCTTGTTCAGACCCCAACTCGAACCCCTTTCACAGCTGTATGTGCGCGCAGTGTTCGCAAAATGGGCCGCGTTCTCTGATAAATCCGTTCTATCAGGTGACGAGAAGAACCACCAGACCCGCCTGCTGCTCTCCTATTGGCCGCGCTGAAACGACTGGACGAAGTGCATCGCGCAAAATTGGAAACACGGCCCTGCGGGTCTGCCGTGGTGGGCTCCGTGTTCGGCTGTGCTCCTCACTGAAGCTGCACCCGGCGAATTTTCATTCATTCAGCGTTCAGAGTGAAAGCAGCTGAGAACTGCGCTGCGTGCCCAGCTCGAGCCTTTGACGCGGTAAAATCACGCGAGCTCTCGTATCTGATCGCTTTAATAAGTCAGCGCTGCTGTCACGAACAGGCTTTATCCTGCGTAGAACCTCATAATGATCCTCGGTCTGTTTACCTGCTGAAGTGAAGACTGGCTGTGAGTACGGCGAGCATCGAGGTCTTCATCATGAAGCAGAGCTAAAGCGGACTGGGGCCGTTTTGTGTTCACAATGCACAAATTAATCGAACCACAAAACGAACTACAAACGAACCGAACTGAGACCACCTCGAGAGGTGGTCTCAGTTCGGTTCGTTTTTGGGGCCGTTTAGAGGGGTCTGAGTTCGTTTGGCGTGTTCACATGACTCAGCGGTCTGAGTCCAGTTCAGACGCTGAAACGGCCCAAGTGTGAAAACGCCCTAAGGTAAAACTATTTTGAAAAGGTTCATGTCATTGGAGCTGTTTTGGTTTCCCTAATGTAGTATATTTAAAAAAAAGAAGAAGAAAAAAGTATTGTGCTAAACTTCAAATCTGGTGGTGACTCACAATGATTGCTAGTTTATCTGTTTAAAAGAAAAAACGGTGGTTTATGCTTCGCCTCTTTTTGTGTTTCTACTTTTTCATGTTCCTGTCATCCTAAAAACATTTTTTAAAATTAAATTTTACAATCTGTTTTACTTTTGAAGTTTAATGTGTGGTCTTCTCTTCTTAGTTTTTGAGGTATATTGCATCACAGAAATTATGAATACATTTCTACATTTTCATTTCAGTCATGCTGTGGTAAATGACCCTACAGTGAACATGCAGGAAATACTTTTAAGAAGCTTCAGAAGCTGAAGTCTGGTTTGCAGTACTTAAGAATCTCGAACTGTTCCTTTGATTTAAGTGACATGAGGCAAACATATTGTTTACATGGCTTTACTCACTCAAATACTACTTTATTGCTGAAATTTGAGTTTCTCATTATCAAAGCCTTACTTGATCTACACTAGTAAATGTGAGGAATGATGGATTATATGTCATTTATGACATAGTTTATACGTTAAGACAATAATTCCAAAGATTATAGCTGTTTCACAACTATAAAGAACATTTACTTTTGCCTGTAGTCTTGTTCTATTGTAAGCTTTTGGCTGAATCCTAAATATGTTACAGCACCACTCTTGGGCTGAATGGACAGTGTGATCTTTGAGCCTTTATCGCAAGGTCCATTTCTATCCTTGATTAAAAATTAACTTGTAAATGCTCAAGACTCTTTGTTAAAAAATGTTCTAAGCTTTAGAACATTCATGATTAATGAGTTTTACTTTAACAGGGTATGGGTTGGTGCCTGTAGCATATGAATGGTACCCTAACTGTTTTATTCATTGTCTCAGTGAAGTTGTAGGATGAACACTGTGAAAGTGGCAGTTGTTGGAGCAGGTGTGATTGGGCTGTCTACAGCAGTGTGTCTAGCTGAGGCTCTCCCGTACTGCTCTGTGAATATACTGGCTGAGAAGTTCTCTCCAGACACCACTAGTGATGGAGCAGCTGGAATCCTTATGCCTAAGGTGTTTCCAGGTGGGGAAGATTGTCAATAATTGTTATATTACGATATTACGAGGAGGAGGAGTGGCCTGCATTTATAATAGTGACTTTATCTGCAAAAGTACCTCTATTGGTGAATTCATGTCTTTTGAGTATGTTGCAATCAACCTTTTTAATGATACACCTGTGTTAATAATTGTAATATACAGACCTCCGAAGCAAAATAGTACATTTTTGTCAGAAATTGCGGAATTATTATCAGTAGTGTCCACAAACTATGATAAGATTCTTCTGTCTGGGGACTTTAACTTACATATCGATAGTCCTTCAGATAGTAATGCATTAGAATTCTTTAGACTTTTGATTTGAAGCAGCACGTGGGCAGCTCTACCCACAAGCTAGGTCACATTTTAGATCTGGTCATCACTAAAGGTTTAAAAACAAAGGTGTCCAAAATCTCGGATGTTTTCTTATCAGATCACTTCTGTATTTTCTTTCAAATCAATTTAGAAGTAAAGAAGAAAGTACCTGAAAGTTACTTTAAAACATGTTACATAGACTCAGAAACAGTTGAAAAGTTTAAAACTGTTTTTAATAGTTCAGCGAATACAGATACGATTCCATCCTGTAATGATCTAGTCTCCAATCTAAGTGCTAGATTACGGGAAGGCCTTGACCTTCTCGCCCCTATAAAAAGGAAGAAAAGCTCGCGCACCCCTTAAAACTCTATGGATGAATGCGGAAACATGCCAGCTTAAGAGAAATTGTCGTAAATCAGAGCGCTTATGGAGGAAAACTAAACTGCAGGAACACTATGATTTTCAGTCTATAATAATGCTATGAAAATATCCAGACAGTCATATCTCTCTAGTGTAATCAATAGACACAAAAATAATACCAAAATCCTTTTTTCCACTATAGACCGACTAATTAACCCTAACTTCTCTGCTAGTGCGTTTAATGATGATTTATCTTCTAATATCGGTGAAGAGTTCGCAATTCATTTCCAAAATAAAATAGACCTGATACGACAGGGTGTAGCTCAGCAGACGCAAACAAGCTCCTATAATGTTCCTGATAGGTCACCTACATCAGTAATGACATCTTTCTCTGTTATCAACTATGAGGAGCTCACAACTATTTTAAACAAACTAAGCTCATCCACATGTGATATTGACCCTGTTCCTACTTCATTCCTTAAGATGGTTTTTGATTGTATTCATAATGATGTTTTAACTATTGTAAATTGTTCTCTGTCAACAGGTGTTTTTCCAGATGCTTTGAAAACTGCCCTGGTGAAGCCTGTGCCAAAAAAGAGTAGCTTGGATCCTTCCATACTAAATAATTTTAGACCGATTTCAAACCTACCTTTTCTAAGTAAAGTCGCTTTCAAACAAATAAATACGCGTCTAATATCAAACAATTTATATGTGAAGTTTCAGTCAGGTTTTCGTTCTAACCATAGTACAGAGACAGCATTGATTTGTGTTATGAATGACCTCAGGCACAGCGCTGATGCACAAAATCCTTCTATCTTGGTTTTATTAGATCTTAGTGCAGCTTTTGATACCGTTGACCACAAGATTTTACTCCAGCGTCTTGAATACTGGGTCGGCCTCTCAGGCACAGTTTTAGAATGGTTTAAATCATATTTAAGTAATAGGCAGTTCATGGTTTCATTTGGAAATCATTCATCAAAACGATTTGCCGTTTCTTGTGGAGTCCCCCAAGGTTCAGTCTTAGGGCCTTTGTTTTTCTCTTTGTACATGCTACCTCTAGGTGATGTTATTAGGAAACATAATATAAATTTTCATAGCTATGCTGACGACACCCAGTTATACATTTCTATTCCTTCTGGATCAAGACTCTGTAGACAGACTAACCAGCTGTGTGTCAGATATTTCTCAGTGGATGTCGCAAAATTTTCTACAATTAAATCATGAAAAAACTGAATTACTGATTGTTGGGACAGAAACTCAGAGAAAAATGATTTTTGAGAAACTTGGTTCTTTAGCTTCATCTACCAAACCTGAAGTACAAAACCTTAGACTCTGAGCTCTGTTTTACCCCACATGTAAACACGGTCACTAAAGTAGCTTTTTATCATTTAAGAAATATCGCTAAAGTTCTGCCTTTTCTATCTCAGAGCGACGCAGAGAAACTAGTTCATGCATTTGTTACAAGCAGACTTGACTACTGTAATGCTCTTCTTGCTGGACTTCCTAAGAAAACTACACATCCCTTACAACTTGTACAAAATGCAGCAGCGCGCATCCTATCAAAAACAAAAAAGAGAGATCACATCACTCCCGTTTTGAAAGAACTGCACTGGCTGCCTGTATCATTCAGGATAGATTTCAAGGTTCTGCTACTAGTCTTTAAAGCTCAAAACAACCTAGCACCTACTTACATCACAGAGTGTCTGTCTGTTTATGTTCCGGTACGTAATCTAAGATCTGCAGATTGTGGCCTTCTACAGATACCCTCTGTAAAATACAGAAAACATGGAGAGGCCTCTTTCAGTTATTATGCTTCTAAACTGTGGAACTCAATTCCACCTTTTATTAGACAGTCAAGCTCAGTGCTCACTTTTAAGAAGCACCTAAAAACGTATCTCTTTAAATTAGCATTTAACTAAAACTGAATGTCTCGTGGTGTTTATCTTGTGATTTAATCTTCTTCATTTTCTTCTGATTCTAATTAAGTACTAATGATCTTTTCTATAACTATGTTTTATCACCTGTCTGTAAAGCACTTTGAGCTGCCACCGGCATGAAAAGTGCTATAGAAATAAAATTATTACTATTATTATTATTATTATTATTATATATGCAACAAAACTGTTCATAATTCGGGGTTTAGTGATCATAGCATTTCTTCATTAAATTCTAGTGTATGACCATATGTGCAGCTGTGAGAAGTTTAAGAAATGAGTGGTTCAAAGCAGCTGTAGATTTCTTAAACTTTCTTAAAATGACATTAAAAAAATTCTTTAAAGATCATTGTACTGAATATACTAAACTAGACACTTATTTTCATGCATTTTTTCCACATAAAGTTTCCAAAAGCTGCTTTTTAAAACTCTCAAAAGTAACAAAACAATGTAGGCATGATCTTTTGCTAATTTATGCACATGTACATATGATATACCTTTTTTAACTTTTTAACCTGCTGTGATTATGCAGTACCTGACAAAAATTACTCTGACAGGCAAAAAAATTTTTTTTTTTCTTTAAATATTTTCTCCAAGTACTTCTTTCAGTATCTGCTAATAACGAAATAAATTGTGTGTGGCAGAAGCTCGCTGGTTTGCTCCCCTGAGCTGACAGTACATGGCTGAAGTGCCCGTGAGCGAGGCACCTAACCCCCAACTGCTCCCCGGGCTGCCCACTGCTCTGGGCAAGTGTGCTCACTGCCCCTTAGTATGTGTGCATTCACTAGTGTGTATGTGGTGTTTCACTGCATGGATGGGTCCAAATGCAGAGGTGAAATTTCCCCGTTGTGGGACTACTACGGGACACTTAATATTACAGAGGCAAATGTAGTGTTAGTCTTGCCCAATAACTTAGCAGTATGGTACTTATCTGTATTCTTGCCTTGACCAAACGTACTCTCCCCTACACAATGAAGCGGTATAAATATTTGTCTTTCCCTGGTTGACCAACAGATATCCCTGTGGAACGCCAGCGGCGTTGGTTCAAACAGACATTTGATCATCTGCTGTCTATTGTTGAATCACCTGAAGCCCCAGAAGCAGGAGTGTACCTGAGCTCAGGGTACTGTATAAGCCTACAGTATGAACTTATTATGTGTCAAAAGCACATACTAAGTAAAAATATTGTGATACAAAAATTAAATTCCTAAAAATTAAAATTAAAAATGTTTTTATTTAAATACTGATAATTGCATATAGTATAAATGACTCTAATCTCTGACGATTGCTTTTTTTTAAGATACCACATATTCAAAGAAGTGCCTACTGATCCAAACCCCTACTGGACCGATTTCGTGTTTGGATTCCGCACCATGACAGTTCATGAGATGAAGAGATTCCCAAAGCATACCTTTGGCCAAGCTTTCACAACAATAAAATGTGAGTGTTCCAGATACCTGCCATGGCTGGAGAAAAGGTAAATTATTTCCCCTTTAAATGCTATTATTCAAAGAAGAAAAAAAGCCAAGCAATTGACATACTTTAGTAGTATAGTACATTGTTCAGTGGCTGTGGCAATTCCCAAACTATACCCAGTCTGTTATATTTAACAGGTTTAGGAAAGCTGGTGGTCAGATTAAATGTGAGAAGGTGACTGACCTTCAGCAGCTCATCTCACACTATGATGTCATTGTGAACTGCTCAGGACTTGGTTCACATCACTTGGTGGGAGATGAGAAGGTCTACCCAGTGCGGGGGCAGATTCTCAAGGTTCATGCTACTTGGCTGAAGAACTTCATTCGGGATGGAGATGGAAACACCTACATCTACCCTGGCATTGACCATGTCACTCTAGGGGGTACTCGGCAGAAGGATGACTGGAGGCTGGAGGTGGATAAGGGAGACAGCAAGGGCATCATGGAGCGCTGCAGTCAGCTGGAGCCGTCCCTGCAGAAGGCTCAGGTGTTAGAGGAGTGGGTGGGTCTAAGGCCTGGCAGGAGGAACCTGCGTGTGGAGAAGGAGTGGCTGCAGGCTCAGGACCGCCAGGTGCTACTTGTGCATAACTATGGCCATGGTGGCTGTGGTATTAGTCTCAGCTGGGGCTCCGCGCTGGACACAGTTGGGTTGGTGAGGAAGAGTCTGCATGAGAAGCCACTTCGTGCAAAACTGTGAACGTACTAGTAGAATGCACAGTAGTTCTGCACGTTAGTCTCTAATGTCACTATGCAATGACTGGTTATTTCATTTTCCATTTGTCTTCTTAATGGCCTTAATGGTTTAAGCTACATCGTGATTGATGTTGAGAAAACTATGAAGGTAGGGAAAGGAGAAAAAAAAAACACCTATTTTCACCTTTACCTGTTTAGGGTGGAAGTATGTTAAACTTATCTCAAAATAATGAGTTACTTTCTCAACATTTTGACATATCTCAGAATAATGACTTGTTTTATTGTGACAGAACTTTGCCTTAAGTGTCTTGAAATAATGATTTATTTATCTCTAAGTCTCTAATTAATTATTTATTTTCTGAAGATTCTGACATAGTATCTTAGGGTAATGACTTAATTTAATGAAATAGTATCTCAGTAATGACTTATTTCCTCAAAATTGTGATTTCTCTTTAAATTTTCAGGCATTAAGATGGACTTGACATTTTTGTCGTTATTTCAACATAGCAAATCAATTATATTTTGAGAGAAGTCATAGTTCAACACAGTAACTAAAAATTTTGAACAAAGTCTTTTTAATTTGAATCGGAAAGTCAGAAACAGAGAAAGTGAAGAAAAGAATGTAGGCACAATTTTTTTTCTCCTGTACCTGGATGGAATGGGCTGAAGTAGAAAAAGACAATTATTTTCAAATGAGCTATTTCTGGTTTGTTTTATATTGATCTGTGTACATTTTTACATTGTTATCAATTTACAAATACAAATCACATTAACATACTAATTACATAGTGTCATACATATTTGTTGTACGTACATTTTTATTCCACTTTTTTGTAACATTACAGGCCTTAACACATTTGACTTGGCATAAATATCAGAAATGTCATAATAAATTGGTACACACAGTTATGTGTATTCTCAATCTCAATTTCCAAGTACAGATCATTCCAACATATTAATTACATATTTATGAAAAGAGCTTTGAGGCAATTCATGCAGACAAAGGGCTTCTTTCCAGAGTGGTGATGAACCAAAAGTCACCACAGTGTGGCTGGGTATTTCCGTTTTTTTTTTTCCTCTCTTTCTATTTGTTCTTCTTTGGTTGCCCTCTTTTGTGCTTCGGATGGATTCAAGCTGTGCTTGTGTCACCACCTCCTCCTTCTGAGGAAGCTTCCAGCACTGTGGCTGAGCTACTCAAGGGAAGTTCTGCATGAGCTTTCACCAAATCACTGATCTCCAGCAAACAGGCCACATCAAGCAGCTGCTCAGTGTTGCTCTCCTCCACAGACACTTGTGCACTGCAGATGAACTCAAGCACAGTTGCAAAGGTCTTCACAGCCATGCCATCTAACTTGTAGATGGACTGGCTGACCTGGTCTTCTGCAGTGAACATGAATGAGAAATATTCACTGCTTGCAGCCAATAGAGCCGTACGTGCCTTAAAGTGCACGTCCTCCACAACAAGAGATATGTTATGAAGTATATCTCTCTTTTTCAGTGTGTCAGATTTATTCAGGATGGAGTCCTTATTGATTTTTTAATGTAAGGCTAGGAAGACATTCTACTTTGAATGACAAGATGACTAAATCTACATGTTCAAAAAATGAAAACAGAAACAAAAATCACAATACATTCATATTACATATGTTCATTATACAATTGCAACAGACATTAAACATGTTTGTGCCATGGACACAGTTGGTAAAGAGCATTCTAAGTACTAGAGGTTGGGTAAAGTAGCCAAAAACCACCTTAAAGTAAAAATATAGTAAAATAATATACTAAGACTCCAATATAAGCAAAAGCCACTAAAACAACTTGAGAAAAAAGTATCCAAAAATCAAAAACTCTCGTCCCTATAGAACTGCGCTGTGGACCTTCTTAGTACATCCAGAATCTATCAGCACAGGAAAATAAGTTTGTGATATTTTTGGTCTGAAATGAAATGCAGTCTAGATTCTATAGAACAGAATTTAACATAACTGTAAAAAGACAATTAAGACCTAAATGTGGACGACTAAAATGGAGTGAAAGTAGTTTCATTTGAGTACAAGCAAAAGCAATATGATTAAAAAATAGTACTCAGAAAATGATGCAAATATATTACATTTTAAATGAAGTACGATGAACTGTGTAAATGTAACTGGCTACGTGCACTCATGGCGGAGATACTAGTCACTATAAACGTAGCCATAGTCAATTATTACATCCCGCTTATTAGGCGAGGAGTCAAAATAAAGTGTCCAAAAACACAACGGAAGCATGTGATCCTACCAGTGAGCATGCGCACAGTACAGCGGCTGAACTCTGGATTATACAGATGTCCCTCCGAATGCACAGTGGGTTTTTCTCTACATCAACTTCCAGAAGGTAAGACTCACAGATATCCCGCTGTCCTGTGCACAGCCAGGGGGGTGAGCGCAGTCTCTCCCTCTGCCAGCGTGGAAATGCGTCGCGTCCTGAGGAACATAGCGCAAAGCAGGCCTGACTTCAAAATGAGGGCCGAATGAAACAAAGGGCAAATAAGGTCAATTGTGGCTTTGTAGGTCTGGGTTTATTCGCCCTGTAGCTGCACCTGCTGGATTTCTGTGCATACGTTCGTATACATTTCTGAGAGCCTGCAAAGGACGTCGCGATAACCTTAAATATAAGGCTTAGGCTGCACCAGAGAAATTGTAGAGAGGAGAATTACCACTCTGTAATGTCTTCTGCGTCTCTCAAATGTTAGAGGGAGCTCCCGAGCGAGTCCAAAATCAACTGGTTAATATAGAGAATTTAAGCAAAATCATAGTTTATGAATACTTAAATATTTTTAATGTAAACGAATACATTCATTTCCTAAACACAGAACAGCATAAAAAATTTTAAACCCGCTGTTTTTCAAGCACTTTTGAACTCGAGTTTTAGGAGTTTAAAACTGCGCCAGAGAACTTGTAGAGATAAACCGGCTCTGACTGCGCTCTTGTACATTCATGACGTCAGAAGGAAACTGCCGATGAGATGCTCCGCTCGACAACCAACCAACACTCAGTAGCAATAACGACGATGAATCAGCATTCAGTAGCAGTAATGCTAGCGTCCTTCTGCCCAAAACTCGTTTGCTCGTAAAAAAGGGAATAATACAGGTATGTTTTCTTTGCTTTATTAGCGAAACACATCCTTCTACTTTCTAATACTAAAGGAAGGTCCCGGCAAGTTTTCACGAACTATTCTAACTTTTCATTTTTAGCCGTTTACCTCCATTCACCCCATTCGTTAAGCACTCGTTTGCGGGCGCCCTCTGGTGTTTTGCCGTCATGTTTTTGGTATAACTGGGGAAGTGGCTCTTCTTAAACCAGCTCTGGCTGCATCAACACGATATATATCGCGAGATTTGCAGTTCTGGCTCTCGTACTGGAGATTAGTGCCCTCTAGCGGTGAGGCCTCTACAAGACCATCTGTCATAATATCTAGTTGTTCCACATATAAACCTGTATAACATTTTTTGAGAGTATTTTGCAGCATATTTTAAGTTGATTCGGTGTGTGATGCGATTGTATGGCACTACTGACAAATTATTTCGCTGTTGAAATGTTGTTCCATTCTCAAAATCCTAGGTGATCTAGACTAGGAATTGAAATTATGGAAAATAATATTTGAATTTATGCATAAAATTACATATTTTATACATGTTTCAAAGATTTTAGCTGTAAATTCTCTCAGTATTTGCTCATTCCTGCATTTTCTCCAGCACTATCCATTCTGTCCCTAAATGAACAATGTGATTTTTGATACTTCATCATCACCAGGTCATTTTAAGTCCTCAATTTAAACATTAACTTCACCGAGACACTTTGTTTAAAATCAGAAAACTAGAACATCCTCATTAACAAGCTTAACACTTTAACAGGGTAAGGGCTGGTGTTCCAGTGCTTGTAGCCTATAAAATGGGGCCCTAACTGTTTTTTTCATTGTCTCAGTGAAGTTGAAGGATGAACACTGTGAAAGTGGCAGTTGTTGGAGCAGGTGTGATTGGGCTGTCTACAGCAGTGTGTCTAGCTAAGGCTCTCCCATACTGCTCTGTGAAAATACTGTCTGAGACGTTCTCTCCAAACACCACTAGCGATGGAGCAGCTGGGATCCTTCTGCCTGAAGTGTTTCCAGGTATGGAGGATCATTTTTCATTGGCATAGACAACAAAGATGTTTACCATTTCCCACAGATTCAGTAATCATGGCATCTTCCAGACTATACAGTGTGATGTAGCATAACTACTTGTGTCTCTGAATGATCAGATATCCCTCTGGATCGTCAGCGGTATTGGTTCAAGGAGACATTTGATCATCTGCAGGCCCTTATTGAATCACCTGAGGCTCCAGAAGCAGGAGTGTACCTGAGCTCAGGGTACTGTATGAACTTATTTCACATATTTTACACAGATCAGTGCATATACTATAAACAGTGTTAATCTCTGGTTATTTCTGTTCTCTTCTGAAGATACCATGTATTCAAAGAGGTGCCTGCTGATCCAAAACCCTACTGGTCTGATTATGTGTTTGGATTCCGCTTCATGACAGATCGTGAGATGAAAAGATTCCCCAATCATAAATTTGGTCAAGCTTTCACCTCAATAAAGTGTGAGTGCCCCAGATACCTGCCATGGCTGGAGAAAAGGTAAATTATTTCTCTATGCAGTGTCGTTTGCAAGCACTGTATACATCAGCGTAATTTAAAATGCCTCTTCACAGTATGTTTTGGAACCTTGTTGAGCTTTTTTCTGTATTTCCTCTGTTGTTCTTCAAGCCCTTGGTTTATATCTTGTAGACTAATCATGAACCCAAACATTCTGATACAGTCTGTTTTCTTTATTAGGTTTAGAGAGACTGGTGGTCAGATTAAATGTGAGAAGGTGACTGACCTTCAGCAGCTCATCCCGCACTATGATGTCATTGTGAACTGCTCAGGTGTTTGGTCCCATCACCTGGTGGGTGATCAGGGAGTCTACCCAGTGCGGGGGCAGATTCTCAAGGTTCATGCTACTTGGCTGAAGAACTTCATTCGGGATGGAGATGGAAAGACCTACGTCTACCCTGGCATTGACTATGTCACTATAGGGGGCACTCGGCAGAAGGATGACTGGAGGCTGGAGCTAGATAAGGGAGACAGCGAGTTGGTGATGGAGCACTGCAGTCAGCTGGAGCCCTCTTTGAAGAAAGCTCAGGTGTTAGAGGAGTGGGTGGGTCTCAGGCCTGGCAGGAAGAATCCACGTGTGGAGAGGGAGTGGCTGCAGGCTCAGGACCGCCAGGTGCCACTGGTGCATAACTATGGCCATGGTGGCTGTGGTATTAGTCTGAGCTGGGGCTCCGCACTGGATGCAGTTGGGTTGGTGAGGCAGAGTCTGCATGAGAAGCCACCTCACGCAAAACTGTAAATGCACTGTAGTACAGTAGTTTGCAAGTCGTGATTGTCTCTATCATCACTGTCCAATGACAGGTTATTGCAGTGGCCATATATGTTCTTAATGACAGCTGAATCTAAATAATTTCATTAGTTTAGAACATTGTCAAATGAAGTATTTCAGGTGTGTTTCACAGTCATCTGCAGACATTTTGCTACTCACAAATTATTTACCACTATAGACAAATCATATTACCATGCTAATATTATTCATGTTTGTACCACTTTTTTGCAGTGTCTGCGCTAATCATAGAATACCTAACAAAAACAGCAAACATGATCAGAAATGATTTGTTGAGTTTAGGCTCAAGTCCTTTCTCTCTGCTAACAAATATAGTATAAGCAAACAGGATCAATATAAAATTCCTTGTTCTGGCATTTACAAAAACACAACTTTAAAACTTTAAAACACTGTCAATCAAAGCACAGGCACTTTAAAAAAAATAGTAAATAATATAAAAGACCCTGTAGCATTTAGAGGCAGTCCATGTGCTGACCAAGTACAACTTTTTTAAAAAAAAATACTCATTTTGGCTTCACAGAAATGTTTTTCTTTTTTAACCAGAGAGTTAAGAGTATAGGTAGCACTTTTCCCTCATCCTCAAGACATCTTCAGTAGTCAGCTCTGTCATCTCGAGAGGAACTGCACTCTTTGTACAAATTTTGCTTGCCTTGAAGAGTATGAAGAACAACGCTTCCATCATCTTGGATGTTCTGCCCAGTTCTCCAACACAGTTTCACTCTGCTCCTCTAGTTGTTCCCTGCGGTGCAGGCTGGCGTGTTGCCGTGGTGAACGAGGCCCTGTCCTTAGACCAAACTTCCATTTTGTGAGGTGGAACTGTGCTTTGATGAAGTTGTAGAAGTCATACTCGTACTTCATACTCTGGTACAACACCTGCAGGGACTTCAGACTCGGTGTCTGCTTGTGAACAGTTCCTGTCATATTCCCTAATTTCCTGTATTCTAAAGGGTTCAAAATAAAGAAACCATTAAAGCATACATCATACAAATGTTCTACAACTTCTTTCATTTGTACTGAAAAATACTTCTGGGACTACCTGTCCATATACACAGGAAATGTCTCCATACATTTTCAAAGTAGGTGTCAAGCTGGTAATAACGTGTAAATATTAAAAACTGTTACATATTTAATCTACGTGTGCACATATTTCAATATATTTACATCTGCTGGTATACATTTAAATATTCAAAAATGCAGTTAAATTTATTAAGCACATATTTTAAAACCCCACATATTTTGCACATACACTTCATTAACTACACCTACCTTGCATCTACGCTCACTGTCCATTTTATCAGCTCCACTTATCATATAGGGGCACTTTGTAGTTCTGCAGTGACAGACTGTGGTACATCTGTTTCTCTGCACAATGGTCAGGACCGCCACAGAGCAGGTATTTATATAGATTTTTGGGTGGTGGATCATTCTCAGCACTGTTGTGTCTGATCCACTCAAACCAGCACAACACACAATATCACACCACCACAGTGACAGTGTCAGAGGTCTGAGAATGATTCACCACTCAAAGAGTACCTGCTAATACCTGCTCTATGGTGGTCCTGTGGGGGTCCTGACAATCGAAGAACAAGGTACAAGGGGACTAAGAAATGCAGAGACACAGACAAACTACAGTCTGTAATTACAGAACTACAAAGTGCACCTCTATGGCAGGTGGACTTGATAAAAGGGACAATTGGTTCAGATACAATACAGTTGCACATATATTGTACAATTGCACATATTTTTAATACGATTAAATATATGTACATATATTTTTCTTCTAAATGGGTGTACAAAGTTTAGGATTACCCCGTTTTTTAAAAAAGGTTAAGGTTAAAAATCTTGTTCAAAACATCATGTTTTCTCTGTCAGTTTCAAATTACCTAACATGTTAGGGGCAGGTTTATTTTAAAGAAAACACTGTAACACATATAAACAGATGTGAGAATGGGTGCACTCAATTTACCTGCGCTGGCTTACCACTTTTTACATAGTGGCACTGGTGGAAAAAACTGTTTATATGGCGTGTCGGTGGCACTTAAAATGGCTCTTAGTATTTTGTTGCATAGTCCATCTAAATGTCAGTAGAAACTATAGTAGCTATCCTTATTGAAGCCGACTTGTCATGCATGGTTTCAGAAAGTTTAATTTCAAATTTACTTTCTTCTTTGCCAGGTTTTACTGTGATTTTCTAAGTAAAGTTTGTTCCAGTATGCTGACTGTGCCAAGCTTTCGGGCACCCAAAACAACTCACAAGCCACTTATAAATGGAGTGGAAGCCACGCCCACATGGCATAACTAGCACATGTGCCATGCGGATACTGGAGTGCACCCAGTATACCTTGGCAGAACTGCCATATCCTGTGCATTTTATACCTTTACTGTAAAACTTTCAGGTTTTAAACTACCTTTTATGTATTAGTAAATAGCTGGTTTATGTTAATGAAACCTTTGATGGTATTTCTTAATTCATTGACAAGTAACAGCAAAAACAAAACATTGCTTAAAATGTTTGATGGGCAGTGTGCATACAGTAACATTGCTAACTAAAGCTGAGAAAGAAAGGGATTTTACCTGGACTTTTGTAGATGTTGAGGACATCAGAAAAGAAGTGAGGCAGGAGTCTCTCCAGCAAGAGCAGCACATCCTCCAGCTCTTCCAGTACCCCCACAAGCAGATAATGTTCCAGAACATTCTCCTTAGCCTTCTGCAGAGCCCACAAACTTGGCTCCCTATCCAAAACCCAGAAAAATGACAAAGGACGGTCATAGTGTTCATCAGTTACCGGGTTACAGATCTTTTTTTTTCTCCAACATATTTCACTTTGAATGTTTCTGATTAACAATCCGTCTATAAGCTACCAGATGAGAGTTAAATGTCATTATTAACCATTTTATGGTTTGATACTAAAGCTGTCTCACCTGCACTGAGGATGCTGCCCGCAGAAATAAGGGATGATGTAGAAGAGCCGAGGGTTGGAGCACTCAGGGTAGCTTTCCAAGATGCAAGTGTTAATGTCCTGAGGCCAACACAAAAACAATAAAAAAGTCTGTGAAAATGAGGGTCAATAAATCCGCTGTCAAGACACAGTTTTTTTTTCAGTGAAACGTAAATGGGTTTCAGCGAACTTCCTTGTGAACAGAAGTGTTTATGTTCATCCACAAGGGGGCTAAGCACACAAATCCTCAGACTATGGGGGCATTCATATCAGGCAGCCTCCGGCAGGGGACCCACGCCTGTCTATTTCCTACCCCAAAGCAAACAAATCCTGAGCATTCCATGTAAGATATATACAATATTGCTTTCACAAGAGAGAACTGTACATATAGAACTTGCTTCTACCATATTATTTACTAATGCACTGTATTATATAACAGGTAAAACATAACAAATCACTGAACATGAATTTAATTTCCACTTCCCAAAACAAGTATAAATATGCAATTTAATAAATATCCACAGCTCAAAAGGGAAAGACAAGGGTGAGACTGAAGCATCACAAGAGCACCTACCAGAAAAACCAGCAGTGAAGGCACCACAGCTGTTTCTCATTCTAAAAATAACATGACTGTACTGCTTAATAAAACCAAGTCTGCTGACTGAATGGTGAAAGAGGCATTCATGCAAAACTGTAAAACACACAAGGGGGGAAAGTCTGGCAGATTCAATTTATGATGCTGCAAAGCTGTACAGTTACAGTACTCCTGTAGTGCAGTGCACTGTAGCGCAGCCAGTGCACTGCCACCAACTTATGCCAGGAACCCGAATTCAGACTTACACTTTGGCAACAGTAACAACAATAACTTTATTTTTTCTAAACACTAGAAAAATAGTTGTGCTTCCACTAAATTAAAGTGGGGGGCGAAAAAGGCATTATCTTCAACATCACTGAAGTTAAAGGCTAAATGATCAGAATTTCTCATTTAATATTTGTTCATCTCACATGACATGTACTAACATGTATGTAGTTGTCGAGCTATCAACCTCTGGCTAAAGTGTTCTCACGTCACACATTTACAAATGATCAAATATACCTAAAAAGGATACCTAAGAGAAAAGATTTCAAAATCCTCACTAGGTATCTCTCATCATCCTTCATTCCAGGAGTGCGAACAACATGATTCTCTTCTCCTCTCCAGTCTCCAAAGCGCCGGAAAAAGTAATTGGACAGAAAACGGTTGATCGGATCTCTAACGATGTTGATGTATACAGGCTCATCTATTCTGAACCTGTTTCAGGAGAGACAGAGACAGGATTCTTAGTCATTTTTAGCTGTGTAAAGCCCAAAGCGCACTGACCCAACGTTCTCCAACAAACACCAACAAACCCACAGCTTGGATTGGTTTGCTGCACCTGTGAGTGACTGCCTTTTTCAGTAATGTTTTCCTCTCTTTAACACTCTTCTAGAATGTTTCCCCCCTTTCACACTGTTCTACAATCCCACCCATTTTACACTGCTCAATAATGTTTTCCCCTCTTTCACACTGTTCTAGAACGTTTCACCCCTTCGATACTGTTCAATGTTTTCTTCTCGTTCACACTGTTCTAGAATGTCTTCCCCTCTTTCACACTGTTCAATGTTTTCCCGTCTTTCACGCTGTTCTAGAACGTTTCCCCCTTTAACACTTTTCTAGAATGTTTTCCCCTCTTTCACTGTTCTAGGATGTTTTTCCCCCTTTCATATTGTTCTAGAATGTTTTTCCCTCTTTCACACAGTTCTAGAATGTTTTTCCCATCTTTCACACAGTTCTAGAATGTTTTTCCCCTCTTTCATACTGTTCGATAATGTTTCGCCCCTTCCACACTGTGAATGTTTTCCCCTCTTTCACACCATTCTAGAATGTTTTCTCCCCTTTCACACTGTTCTATAATGTTTTCTCCCCTTTCACACTGTTCTAGAATGTTTTCCCGCTCTTTCACACTGTTCTAGAATGTCTTCCCCTCTTTCATGCTGTTCATTAATGTTTTACCCCCTTTCACTTCTAGCATGTTTCCCTCTTTCACACTGTTCTAGAACATTTCCCCCTTTCACACTACTCTAGTGTTTTCCCACATTTTGAGCCTTTCACACTGTTCTAGTTGGGGAGTGTTGAGTCAGTGTTCCTTGGCCTTAAAGGAGAAATCCACTGATTTTTCAAAATTTCTGCATAATTAAATGTCAGCAAAGTCATTCTGAGTGGTTTGATGTGAAATGCACTATTGTAGAGACACTTGCCGACTCAAAATTCTTCACAGTTGTGGTGATATGAGTCAGTCGACTGAATGTTTAATGCCTCTAAAAGCTACCTAGGGGACAATTATTACACACAGATTTTACAAACACGTTTCATGACATCTGCAATACTGTTTCAGTGTTTCAGAGTTTTGAGATAAGATTTTGGCCTATAACATTTTCTAATATATGTTTCTGTTAGAAAGGTACATGCAGGATACTGCAAGGCAAAACAGTACCCAGAGAAAACTTTTTCAATATATTTACCACTGTTTGAGCACTACCAAAATGCAAAAGACAACTGTAGATTAACTGCTTGTTTTGGATAACAAATAAAATCACTATTTTGATTTAACTGTGCAGAAAAAAAAATACAAGTGTAATGGTACCTGGTGAAATTGAGGAAATGAACATGTCGAGTGTACAGAAATGGCTGAGGAACAGTGCTTATGTTAATCATCAGATCCACCTGCATGTCAAAGAAAGGGGTGGAAGGAAATAAGTAGACATTTCATAAGAAATTCACACTGTCAACAAAGGCATACATCTGGGACATAACCTGCTCATGCTTGCTAAGTCTGGTCTTGTTGTGGATGTCTGATGAGATGAGGGTGAACTTGTTTCTTTCTGCCAGAATACGAAGGAGCAGGACAATCGTCCGACTCCCACACTTCCCAACTCGATTATATACAACTTTACTTGGGAAAGGTAATGCCTGTAACAGAAATAAATGGCCCATTACAATAATGAATGTTAAATGGCAATTCAGTTATCATAGGTTTAACTGATTCACATGTACAACAGATAAAGCATATAATGTGACAAGCCAACATGACTTTGCTTTGGTTCCCTCAAGGTGAAAGATGATTTACTGGTAAAACTTTAGGTGCAATTTCAAAACTGAAACTCTAATACAGAGTAATTTCTCTGGGTAACAAAATGTATCACACTCACTCTGGGCGCTAAGGGTACATGGTCATCAAGAAATGTTGACTGTCCTAAAAAAAGCATAGAAGAGACAGACTGTGTATGTCCAGACATAACATACAAACTCTATATAATAAATTACCAGTGTTAAGTCTGAATATTAAGATTACTAGTGTAAAACAAACCACCTCATTCCAAGCACATTAATTAAATCAAGGAAATGTTGATTAGCAGACTTCCTGGCTGTTCTCTGCATTTTCAACGTGTCGGGGCCATAAGGAACTCTTTCATTCTGCTGATACTCTCAGACACAAAGGCCTACTTGATAACTGCTTACTGCTCTGCCCTCTCCAGCACCTCTCCAAACACTGTTTGCTCATGCTAATGGCACAAGACTGTGGCTGCTACAAGTGAAATACATTCCTATATAACAAAATAACAATGTTTATGTTGGGCCCATGCTAAGCATAGAGCCCAATGCAAAGTGTACACTTGCAAAAGTACTGCTATTTCAATTAAACAATGACTCAAATAGAAGTAAAACTATTTACCCAAAAGAAAAAGTAAAAAGTATCAGATAAAAATAACTCCTCAGATACTCCACTCCCTTCAGAACTACAGTGGAACTCCTAGCACATCCAGCAAAGGCATCAGTGTTTGGCTTGTGCTGTTATTCTGCTTCTTTTGGGTTCTTCTTTTTGGGTGTGAAATAAAATGCTAAAGCTCAAAAGAAAGAGCTGTGAGCAACAGCAAAGTAGTCAAGGTTCTGTCACCAACAGAACTGCAGAGAATTCAACACAAAAAAGGAACAAATAACTAAATATGAATGACTACAGTGAAAGCAAGTAAAATAGTAGCTTCTGTTCACAAAATACTTGAGTGTAAATGAAGACATTGTATTGAATATATTCAGAAAAGGTACAACTAAAGATGAGACTATAAGTGGTTTTATTACAGGTACCCAAAACTGAATTTTCTTGTTTTAAAAATGTACTAACATGTATGTAGTTGTCGAGCTATCAACCTCTGGCTAAAATGATCTCAAGTCAGAGGGAGTCATTATTGACAACTGGCAACCCCTGTCTGTACACCATATGGTATAAACCACCTATAGTCTCGTCTTCCATCACATATCAATTAATAGGCTTATAAATTCATGACAGCCACTTGGTCGTCCACAACACTGAATTACTGCTCTGCTCCAGTGAGCTTGAGTTCTGATTCTTACCGAAGTAGTAACGGACGTGAAGGAGAAGCTGAGGTGGTCCACCATTTAACTGCCACAAAACAGAGCCCAAACAAAACACAAGCAGCGTGGTCAAGCACAGTCCAAAGTCCCGGCGAGAAACTCTCAGCAAAATTACGGCTAACCAGTTACCCCTCCTGTTTTTCCCTCGGATATAACTCTTATGGCAGTTATTTCCAATGTGCTTCGCCATATTCTCAGTACACTGTGGGAATGGAGCTGATCCATTCAACGTTATGAAGAGTCTTTCTGAAGAGGGGCTACTCCATCGGGGCACCAACAGCTTCTGTCAGGTTTGCAAGAGAACCTGGTGCCTTTTTTAAACTAAAGTGTCAAATTACAAATTATAGAGCTATTTTTTTGCCACATGTAGACTGCTGGTTACACCCTCTTACTCAAACCCCCTCTCACTTTCAGCCTCAGTAGAATTAAGCTACTTTCAGCTGTGCAGGAGTGAGTGATTTATTTCTGAAGTGGGCTGAACATTGTACTGGCTTTTACTGTGGAAAATGTGTGAAGTAATGGTCACGTAATGAAGAAACCAAGCACTCTCTTAGTCTCTAATTTAATTTCTTACCTTTGAGGCAGTTCAGGCAAAGTTAGGGAGGTACTCTGGAGGGGCCAGACTGTAATATCAGAGGGCAAAATAACCCGCTCTGTTGGTTGGTTTTATTAGGCCAAGAATCACCTAGACAGCAACACTGTTGACCTTTTTATTATTTTGTTGCTGAGAAGTCCATTTTATAACCCACACACTCACTTGTATTCAAAGGCCATCAGATGTCTTTCTACATATCAAAGGCATTTCACTGGATTAAAATATGTAATGATAGTATCATCAAATGCTATATTACAACACAAAATAAATATTCAATCTGACAATTAGCCAAACAGTTTGAGAAAATATATAGCAATTTTAAAACCTTAAAGGCAAGGCCAGCAGACAACATGCTTGTCAACAAAATAATTCCAACATTTAAAGGGATATTCCACTGATTTTTCAAAACGTCTGCATAATGAAGTTGTGAAGATGTAAACAGTAATTAAGAGTGATGTGAAATGCGCCATTATAAAGAAATTTACACAGTTAGAGTTGTCCACAGTGGTGGTGATAAGAACCAGACATCTGAAGAGTTTACTGCCTCCAAAAGCTACATCACAAAGTTATTACACAAAATTGTTATGAATGTTGCCTGACATTGCTTTATGTTAGCTTCGAGAAGATTTTGGCCTAAAACATTTTTTTAAAATCTACTCATGTCTGAGAGGTATGTGCAAGGTGTTTTAAGGCAAACAGTACCAAAATGAAAGTTATTTTTAGCTACTAATTTATCTCTATTTTACAATTATCAGCACTACATACAAAAACTCAGACATGTGTAGGTTCAGTGGTCAGTTTGGGTAGCAGTTTGTAACTTTCTCTACAGTGCCCCATTTCACATCAAACTACTATTAATGACTTATTAATTCTAAATGGTTGAATTATGCAGACATTTTGAAAAATAGTGGAAGTTTCACAAAATCAAAAAAGGGACATTTGACTACTTTAATTACAATAACTGTTCCCTTGATTTCAGTAGCTATGTATGCAGTGGTTCTCAATCCCAGTCCACTGTATGGCTGATGCCTACACTGTTATGTTATAGGTTTTCCATTTTCTGGAAACTGTTCAATTATTTTAATATTTAGCTGATAATCGGAACAAGGTTATGTTACATGGGCTGCTTTGATGAGAATGAGAACCACTGGTTGAATCATAATCAACAATCATAAACCACAATCATCATTCTATAATTTTCAAACCAAGTGAAATGACAGAACACATTTTAAAACAAATGCAAATTCACAATTCGTCATAGAGCTCCTCTGTATTTACATTTGAGAGGTGACAGTCATAGTTCACAATTCATAACATTCTACTACACAGTTAATATGAGATTTAAGGAGGATACAGGTCTCTGCATAAAAATCACTGCCTAAACAAAATGTTTTTTTGTCTGAATTTGTCTAAACTATGCAACCATGTAAGTTTCAAAATCTTGTATCAGTGTTGGCACGCATCTAAGCACACTTACAACACTCGCACATCTGTTTGAAAATCTAAAACATTAAAACTACAGGTTATAAAAATAACAAACAAAAGACCACCATGTTCTTCCACTGCAAATCTTAATTGGCTTCACTAGCGCTTGAAAAGCATACAGCTTTCCTTCACAACAGTCTGTGACATTGTAGTCCCATTCAAACATTCTGGCATCAGTCTTTATGCAGTTTTATCCTTCATGGCTGGGGCTGTTGTTGCGGTCCACCAGTGGTTGAAAAATGTAGAATTTGTTGTATGATCCACTCCCATTTACAGAAGTTGCTGTAATCATCCAGGCATCCATGCCAGAAACTATCAAGATGACCTGGCATCCAGCATTGCCCCCAGTGTGCTCAAGGAATTACAGCTTTACGCAAATCTCTGATAAACCTCTCAATGGAATCTGAGGGACAGAATAAAAGAGCATGCATTTTGAAAATGTTTTAAAGGCACACACTAATTTTGTGAAAACTGTCAGGTGAAAACATTTTGTTTTCATATTTATATTGCACTTACTGCCATGCGGTGCTGTTTACGAAGCTGCTGGACTCTTGTCTGATCCATGACTGTTGCAATATCACTCAAAGGCTTGTTCAGATCTTCAGAGTACCTCTGGATGAGGGAGAAGGGGACCCCGTAACGGCCATGCTGTAAGAACAAGGACAATTTTATATACACACACACACACACACACACATTACATAATACAGAACCTCATATCTCCAAAATGGTCATTTTCAAGAGTTATATAACTTATAACAGAAGTTAAAGTAACATGTTTTTCCCCCAAGTAATTTTGGACCATTTATATTGGTCCATTAATCAATTTCACACAATGTAAAGGGCAGATGGTGTTTACAAATTATGTACACAACACAAAACAAAAGCAAAATCATGATGTATTTCTGAGTGTAATGCAATGTCAAGGAGGGTCTCTGTTTTGCTCAGTGAGAGGTGGGAGGTTGAGGCAAAACATGATATTATTGGTTAATATTATTTTTCCCTGCTTGGTAGTGTATGGTGACAGTCAAAACTCAAAAGGCATTTTAGAGGCAGGCAAAAGTCATTACATTTTGATGGAAGATTATGTGAAAACAATAATTTTGTCTTTCAAATGACTAATATGATGCATGCTGCTTAGCATGACCACAGACAACTAACAAGGTAATCTCAATTTTGCTTGCTTATGTAGTTTCTTACACACTGTTTCACATAGCGTTTATGTAGAAATTGACAAGAATATGCTGCATAGCTAAAAACAGTAGCAGCAGCCATCCTGAAAGTGTGAATTTTGTACTGACATTTGCCCATTTTTACAGATAACAGTATGTCAAAAAGAGTCAAATTAGACTTCTGTTTGTACCATCACTTTATGTATGATAGACTATTAAAAAAACAAAAACTTTGGGCCTGGACAAAGTGAGATACCTTATCAGAATAGGGCTCCTCTGTGAGGTCAATACCATCCAAGCTCAGCTTTTCCTCTACAAGCGACTCCAGATTAGCCCCTTTGCCATGCTGAACTTTCTTTCCAATTCTACAGATAAAAGGTTTACTGCACCCAGGAGCAATATCAGGGCTAATCTCCTTGCCCTTTGCAAGGGACACTGGCAGAGGTTTGGGAGGAACTGGTGGTCTCACATGATGTGTGCATAAAGGAGCACTGCCTGGACCTGCTTCAGGAACGTCTACAGGTAGCGCCTCAGCCTCCACTTCTGCTGTGATGGAGTCAATAGAAGGAAAAGTAGCAGACAGCTCATCTCCTGTGCCTAGCTCTGCAGAGTCATCCTCTGGGGTGCCACATATCTGAGGCTTTTCTGGAACTGTACCTTCAGTTTGAACTGGGCTGTGCCTCTCAGCAGGGATTTGCCTATGCACTGCACCACCACATGCCTCTGAATGGGTGGGCCTCAAATCCTCTGGGTCCTTTGTGTGGAGAATCCGATCCTGCAGAAGGTCGTCCAATGAAAGGCAACGCTTCCACAGCCCTTGAGGAGCAGGGAGACCAACTAGTGCATCACAGCTCTGACTGAGGAGCTTTGCTCTGAGCAAGCAGGGGCTCATACCAAAGCAAAGTCCTTTCACGTTGGCCATTGGGAAGGGAAGCAGGAGAGACTGTGGATCACGACTCCTGGACCCGCTGGACTGGCTGAGGGGAGGTGTTGGATACTCGGGAGATGGGAGGTGACTGGACTCAAAGCCTGACGAGGACCTGCTTAAATGAGATGCCTTTTTGTCTTTCCCTAAAAAAGAGCCATGTGAGATGTGACTTATGTGAAACAGCAAAACCAAGTATTTACCAATATAATACTATGATATTCAACAAATACCGCCATTTGGAAAGAAAGCGTCCATGCAAACAGAGACATGATAGGCGCTATGTATCTGAATGTGATTGTGAACGCAAAGTAAAATGAAGCACAAATGAGAAAAGGCAGAAATAAAAGAAGTCCAAAAAGCAGATCACAGAGCAGTTTATTCCAGAGCCTCTGTTACAGCTGGACACATTGACAAAGCTGGCCTTGTGGCAGTTTTTTCATGAGTAAACGATAGTCAACTCCATTAAACATGGATGCTATATTTTATTTAGTTCCAGTTAAAACGAGCAGACATTGTTTTCTTTTATTCAGAGATGCATTTTAATACCTCTACAGTTACTCAGGATCAGACTTGTTTTGTCTGACCAAATAGGAGAAGCACAGTGGTATAATCTCAGTAAATATGTCTATTTTAGCTTCTGTATTTGCATATAACAGAGGTTTTAGGCACATAATATATTGTGCAACATTATATTATTTTGACTAGAAAAATATACACAGAGAATGGCAAAATCTCAAGAGCACAAGCATGGAAAATACTCCTCACAAGGGCTGTTGACATTCACAAGGGCATGTCATGATCACTATCCTTTTGTAAGTTTAATTCAAAGCAAAAACGTAAAGATCTGCATAATCATTTTCAAGCTCTAACACTGAATACTGCAGGTTAAGCACTGAACTTCTCCCAAACTACAACTTTATCACGCTTTTGGTGCAACACATTTTTTAGGCAAGTGCAAAACCATCACACAATGTCATGGTAACAGACAGAACTGAAATGTAGAAGCCACTTCCACTACAGAAAAATGTTGCCACTTGCTTCTCAGTATGAGCAATGTCATGATGAACGCAGATGATTGTGTGTTCTTGCAGAGACAGAACGTACTGGTCCCTTGTGTATTTGGTGGAGGGTGTGACTGACATGTCTGAGGATGGACAGTAGACAGGAGATGAGGGCTAGCAGCGGAGTGAGAGAAAGAGAGACAGTCCGGCCCTCGCGGAAGAGGAGTACAGAGCGAGCGATAGAAGGGACAGAGATGGCGGCGAGATGAGCACAGAGAGCTAAACGCCAGAGTGATCATCACACACTGGTCACACAGTTCAGTTTGTTTGGCTTGACTCTGGAACATGCAGGGCCTGGCAGCCCACAGAGAAGAGGTGGAGCAGGTCTGCAGAGAGTCACAGGCGAGGAAGGCTGTTATTACCGTTCTCCAGCGTCTCACTGCTCTCATAGCAGCCAGAGTCACGGGGGGAGTCTGGAGGGGCTCCACTCTCTGACAGAACCTTCTCCTCAGAACCTCCTGAAGAACCTCCACGCTCAGGGTCACTGTTACCTACACACACATATGAGATATTGTCAAATTTATAATGTATAACATCACTTAATGAGCTCAGTGACATATTATATAGCTGTAGTTTCCAGTTCTGGTCTTGGACGTCCCCTAATGGAAGCTAGTAATGGAAGCTATGCCATCAATTAGCAATGAGCAAACTGGCACACTGTTATCAATTAAAATGGACAAGCATATGCTGTATAACTAAAATTAGCTGCACAGTAGTAGCAGATACTTTTATCCATTTCATAGATAACAGTATCACTGAAGTACAATAGAAATATGCTTAATCTGTTTTGCACTTATCCATGATGGGCATATTTTGTGGTTGATACAGTCAAATTAAGGAACTTTCAAAAAGATGAAAAATCTATAGGCACTTTTTGCAAGTTATAAGGGCCCCGATGGCCTCCAATACTGGTAACGACCCTTCAATATTCAATATATTCCAGTGCAAAACTGAAAAAAAAAAATCGAACTCTAGACATTTGGTTCGGGTAAGAGGGAAAACTGTAAATTACTTTTTTTTTGTCAAACTGCTGCTTTAATCCATGTGTTCTAATTGTCTGTGTATGTCTCTCAGCATTGGCCCACTCACTGTCATATTCTTGCAGCAGTTCCACTGCAGTCAGCAGTACTGCTCTGTGCTGGGGGTCTTTAATGTTCAACTCGTCCAGGTCCTCCTCTTCCAGCAACTTAAATGTGTCCAGATCCTCATAGCCATTAAACAGGAATGTGGGCATGTGCTCCTAAAGTAGCAGACAGTACAAGAAGATTTCATAAAACTACTGACTTCAGCAGAAATGTACATTTACTCTGTGAATACATAGCAGTGCTTCATAAATGTGTAAGGTCAAAATTGGAAAGTGGTGTGCTCCTCATAGAAGTCATTACCTTGAGATTAATGCGATCCAGAAGCTCTTCCACAGATGTGGGTTTTGGTGGCCGGCTCTTCCTCCTCTTCCTTACGCTGCGTTTGGGCTTCTCCTCTTCCTCACTCAATACATCTACATAGATGAATTTAAAGGTGCCCACCTTGTTATTCAGCAGGCCCATCCACGTACCCATGGGTGGCTTACTGATGATGTCTATTACATCTCCTTTCTGGAAAAAGAGTGAATATTTTGTGTAATTGAATAATCTATTGATTATTTTTATGATTAATTAAATAATCTGATTTTAACAAAATGCCAAATTAATAAACTAGGAAGCCTGAAAATTAATGGAAATATGAAATAACTGAGGTTTGGAAGGAGGAATGTGTATGAAGCTCATTCTAATGTCCTATAAACTTTCATCTCTACCTTCTGTTTCCTGTGACAAAGTTTTCGCACCCGATCAACAAACTACAATCTCTTTCCTGTTCTGCACTCCTATCTCTCCTACCTCTGTTCATTAAGGGGGTTCCAGCCATCTAGCTTAAAGCAGAAACTGCCCAGAATTCCAGACCAAGTTCTCAGAGATCTTCATCTTTCCTACAGTCAAACAGTCTCTTCTCACACTATGACCACATGCCGAAGGCATGGTCCAAACTAGCAAAGTGCAAAGAGTCATATGAAAAAAACTGAACACTCCCAGTCAAATTACATGCTTTGCTGTTTTTCTAGGTTAAAACAAATGAACACATCCTCAACAGGGAACAAACTTAAATGTGATACTACTACTATTACTACTACTACTACTACTACTACTACTGCTGCTAATAACAATAATAATAATAATAATAATAATAATAACAACAACAACAACAACAACTTTAATTCATATAGTACCTTTCATAGAGATATATGTCAATTTTCTGCAAATTCTTAGTGTACAATTTCTATCTATTTGCTGAGTTTCTATTAGAAAAAATTAAAATAAAAAATGAAAAATGTTCCAAACATCTGCACAGGCCACACTTTATTGTTTTTTTTTCAATATGTTGCTGTTTCTTACTGTAAGAGATACCAGTATGAGAATTTAAAACTGCCCACTTATCCATAGAACAGTAGTTTTGTTTTGTAGTTGAAAATTTTCTTTTATCACGTAATCATGGCAGCCCACACAATAGAACATTTCACTACATATTGCATTAACAAATATTATTATAATTATTATGGTATTTTGTTCCTCATAGACACCAAATGTATTACCTTGAGTTTGAGGGAGTCTGTGTCATAGGGGCTGGGGATAAAGTCGGTGTGTACGAGGGCTCGACCACAGAAAGGCCCTCTGTATGGTAGCTCGTCATCATCACCGTCCTCCGATTTCACGCTTTCTCTGTTACTGGCTGAGGAGTCTGTAGTACTAACTGTCTGCCCGCCTACAAATTAATGGATATTTTAATGCAGATTTAAAGGAGTTCAGCCATGTGATACAGTGAGATTGTGGCATTTGATCTCTCATACAGACACACTTATGGAAATACACTTACTCATTGAACTCTGTCCACTTAGTGAGCTCCTCAGGCTCTCCACAGAGCCTCCAGCTTTCAGTTTGGGTTTCTCCAGAGTGTCAGTGTGTGCGTGTGGGGACTGAGGGGAGCCTGGCTCTCTGTTGGGGCTTGACTGAGTGGAGCACACAGAGACATCATTGTTTAATACAAATATCAGCACTTTACTGTAACTGCCAGCAGGGGGCACTCAACACTTACAAATAGACATATCACTGCGTGACAAAGAGCTAAAATGGCAATGTAGATACCAGTACCCAATGATGCATTTCTAGAGTTCATGCATTTTGCTGTATTTCATAAACCCAATGATGCTGTATGTTTGAAGATGTCTTGCGTCTTGTGTGCTATTTTTTCTGCGATTTCAGAAAAAATACGACTGAATGAAATACTGCTCTTGAGGGGTGGGCAATGTGATGATATTTTTTTGTTATCATGCTAAAGTTCTTCACAATATGCAAGCATTGTTAAAGTTTTACAGTCAGACATTGTTAAAGTCTATACAGTCCATATAAGGAAACTATGCTGCATTGTTTGTGTGATTTCACTAGAACTAACCCATATATATATATATATATATATATATATATATATATATATATATATGTATGTATATATACACACACACACACACACACACACACACACATACAGCAGTCCCCCTGCCTACCCACTCAGAGACTCCCCCTGCCTACCAGCTCGTTGTTCGTCCTTAGAAAGTTGTGCAACAACATTATTATAGTCATAATTTTCCTTCATTTGAACTTTCATTAAAATATTGTGGAATCCTAAATCATGAATCCGGTTTTTTAAAATAGTTTTTTAGTTCCAACTTCTTAAACCTCAGAAAAACTAAATGTTGGAATACATAACATGTATCATGAAATTGTATTCACGTATTATGATTTTGTATTTTTGCCATACCCCTCCCCCTTCACTCACAAGCTTTTTTATTAGGTTCATCTGCTCCCAGTTGTACCAAATAGTTTAATTAACCTTTTACAGTTAACCAAAGGTGGCTGGCCACACTGAACTACTCTGCTTCAAGTGTCAACTGTTTGTGTAGCGCAGGGGTGTCCAATCTTATCCACAAAGGGCCGGTGTGGCTGCAGGTTTTCTCTCAAAACAAGCTGGAGCACACCTGATTCCCCTTGTTTAATCAGTTGGTTTCAGTCTTCAACTGCTGATCAGGTGATCTCCTGCTTTATTGGAATAAAAATCTACTGCCACACCGGCCCTTTGTGGATTGGATACCCCAGGTGTAGTGCAAGGTAGGATGTTTAATAAGAAAAGTTAAGTCTTTGAACTCCAAGCTTATTATGCAGATGTTTCTCATAATAATATTATTAGCATTATTCAGTAATTACTAGTTACATAATTACTAAGGAACTTAAGTATGCCTCACATACAGTTCCTTATATTTCATGGGGTATAGCACGTAGAGCTCTGATATCATGTAGTGCAACCTGAAGCCAAACCTTTTTTTATATCACAGTGGTCTGTGATAGAGAGAAGCGGTACCTTCTAAGAATATAAAGCAGACAGTTTTGTAGCGCAGAATGACACGATACAAAAAAACACACACCCTCCACATAGTACCTGTTCAGACAGAGCAGAGCTGTACTTCTTGGATATACGTTTCCTCATGGTCTCCTTCACCGACTTCACCTTCTTGCCCAGAGAGATGCGGGACGGAGTGGGGGACCTCGCTGCCTCTCTTCTGCTGTCTCCACCCTCAATCTGCAAAAGGCATCATGAGACAGTGGCACAGAGATCATAACATCAGCTTCAGTTCAATGAGAAAGCTGCAGATAAGCATCAATCACAAAATAAACCCAACTATTTATCATACTTCATGTGTTAACCCCAGGCGTCGAATTAAGTTGTTATTCTTAAAAGGGAACTTTCAAAATATCTTCATAATTATATCACTAAGATGTAAACAAAGTCACTGAGAGTAGTTTGATATGAGATGCACTCTTCTAGAGAAACTTAAAACCAGAACTGTGTTTGTTAAGATACAAACATCCAAAGCAAATATCTTCTGATATAAAAGCTACCTCACAGAAAGCTATTACACCAAAAATTATTGTTTCATAATGTCATATACATTGTGATGCTTGAGACATTTACCAATAGATCTGACATAAGGTTTCAGCCTAAAATATATAATTTTAAAATACATTAATGACAGGGAGATATATACAGGGAGATGTAAGGCAAAATAATTCAGAAAGAAAGCTTGACCTTTTCTGACTGACCACTATCTTACAATAATCAACATTTAATATTAGGTTCACTGGTTGTTTTGAACAGTAAATAAAATCTGTCCATTGTAGACACTGTGACCCCTGGTTCCTATCACCACCACTGTAAAGAACATCAAAACATTCTGAATTACTTTGTTTACATCTCAACAAATGAATTATGCAAAAACTCTGAAAAAATTTACCTACTCTATCTCATTGTACTTGACAATGCAATGACAATAGGATATTCTGTTCTACTAAGACCATGGCTTAATTTGAGGGGGCAATCAAAACAAAAACAAACAAAAAACAATCAAAACAAACAAAAACCAAAATGAATTCCCTTGTAAATCTACAATGGATCAATAGTGTTTTGTGAATAAAAGTCAAAAGGCTAATGTCTGTCTGTATGGGTGTTCTAATCGCAGTAAAAGACAAGAGAGATGTAAAACAAGAAAGTTATGTTTCAATTGAAGTGAATAAGCAACTGAAGTATGATTTGAACTCTCCTCTAAGGTTCAAGGGTTAAAAAAACATACCTAGCACCTTTACACTTTGTCATTTGAAAGTATTTTTAGATGAAATTTTCTTTAGTACTTACATTAGGGTCACAGCTGCTCTCTCTCATGTATACAGACCGGTTCACGAGGTCAAATCCTCCGAAGCTACAGGCCCTCTGCAAAGCAAATTATATTAACAAAGCATTAACATATGAATGAACATCTGCTTGAAATCCCAAAGTTTCTCTTTAAGGTAGCATTTTGATGGCTGACATTGACACAGAGGTAAAAGGACTGCGAGGCCTTCTCCACATAAAAACAAAGCTACATCTTCCCAATAGATGCACAGATTTGGGCTGAATATTAAAGAGCAAGCCTCTGCTACAATAGCTCATAGTGGCAGTTTCTTCCTGCTGACCTCCCCCTCTTCCTTCACTGCCAAGCTGACTTGGCCTGACCTCTGCTTGGGATCAACTAGGCACAGCATGAGGATGTGCTGTGACTGCAGTATGCTACAACCAAGATGCCAGCAGGATAAAGGGGAAAAGGATGTAAGGTGGTGTATAGACAGCTCTCTGTTCTCAAGTGGACATATTAATGGATGAAAGTCAGCTAGAGGCTGAAAATTTCATTGGCCAGGAAAAGTGGCTATAAGAAATCATCATGAAATTAGCTGAGGCTGTGATTAAATAGATTCCAAGGAATTTTGTTCTTATTCATACTTACATATTGTTCAGCGTTTTTGCATTTTGTCTATTACTTTTGCCATTTGTTATATATGTTAGTATATCAATAAGTCATCATTTGTGGATCAGGTATTTGTAATACTCAATTTACCTCAATGTTCATGATGTGCAGTTGTTTATAGTTGCTGTCATAACAAAACCTCATATCTTCATGGTGAATTTATAGGATGAGGAAAATCATTCTTAAAGCAACACAATGTAAGCTTTGGAGATTTGGGGGACCTCCCTGCTGGAAATGTGTAATTGCACACAAACTTTCCCCAAGCATATGAATCTGATGATTGATAGCACATTCAAAAAGGAATTCCGTTCAAACCTGGTGAAGAACGTGTCTTCAGAGAATGTAGGCAAATTATCTACAGTCATCATCTTACACTCATCAGTATAATGTTCATTTTGCATGTGAGACCTAAACATCAAGGTGGACCTTCTTTTTGAGCCTGTGTGTGATGTTAATATGTAAAGATGTATGACATGATCTGAAAAACTCTGACCTCCGACTTTTAAATAATTATTTAAGGCTTTACATGGTGATTTGCAGCAGTGCACGCGCATCATATTTTAGCTTGTTTCTTTTCTCCTGACTCTGTAATGCTTCTTATTTCAATTTTAACAAAAAATCTTACATATGTGGTTTTGACTTTTGGGGCAGATTTTGTAAAAGAGGCACTAATTACTGACAGTCTACCAAAACTTTGCGAAGCGGTGGCCAATTTAGTGGGTTATCTACTAAGAACCTCCACGGAAAGGAACACTGGCACAACTCTACAATTAACATATGACCAGTGCAATATTAACCTGTTTGGCTTACATGTTTTTGTATGGAAGCCCTGAAAAGAAAAAAAATTCTCTGTTTCTGAGCACAAACAATAGCAGCCATGTTAACACCACAAATAAGACAAGCTTTTCACAGGTGTTAAATAGTGCACCGTCAGTATTTAGTGCCAGCCATCTCTCAGTACTTTGCACCTTGGGAAGGAAACTCCTCTAAATGCATATGCAATGAGGCAAAAGCGCCCCTTTGGTCTCATAATGGGCACTATTTAGTTAGGGCACTTATTTTGTAAATCACAACAGTCACTTTTAATTGCCAAATTAAAGTTTGTGACAGCGCAAACAGTTAAACAGTAAATCTTTCCCATTATGTGTTTTAATATAACAAGATTTTTTTTCCATTCATCATGAAATATTCTCATAATGCAGAGGACAGCTTGTATTTTTAAACAGTGTAAGAATATGAAAACTGGGGCTTCAAAGTAATAAGACGATGATATGCAGTGGCGCTCACCCCGTGGTAGTTGGAGGGGCTCAGGGCGCGTCTCATTTCACCGTCTGTCACAGAGCGGGCCATCATGGGCTGATCCTCACAGCAACCCTCTGCCTCTGAAAAAGAGGAGCCACTGCCTGCATCAAGCCCCAGAGCAGCTCCACCTGGGCCTGAGGACATCTGGCCCAAACCCTGACTGCTGCTGGACTTGCTGAAGGCTTTGAAGAGCTTGTGGCTGCTGTAAGTGTCCAGGCTGCTAGAAGAGGGTGAAGTGGTCAGGCTGTCTGAATCTCCATCCACAGACAGCTGCTCCTGCAGAACTGAAGCCAGTCCATCACCCTGGACAACTCGCTTCTGCACCCCGGAGTACAGAGAGGTGTTATCCTCACAAGTGGGAGACACCTCAGAGTCTGAAAGAGTAAACACAAAATGTTCACTCCTTTACATTATATTAACAGCATCAAGCAGATGATCTTATCCAGAATAACTTATAGAAGTGCTTTGTTGTCTACTAAAACTTATTCTTATACTAGCGCAAATGGACTGAACCAGTGGCATCCAATCTCATTTGCAATTGTTGTGGCTGCAGGTTTTCATTCCGAACAAACAAATGTGCACCTGATTCTACTTGCTAAATCAGTTAGTCTCAGTCCTCAACAACAACTGATCATGTGTGATTTTGCTTTGTTGGAGTGAAAACAAATATACAGAACGATGATAACTCTAGGAACCATTTAAGTGCTCAAATGGTTCTTTGCATGGTTAAATGGTCTTTGAGTTCTTCTTGTATATTGTTTTTTAAGAAACTCTTAAAAATGCTTACATTTAGCAACATGATTTGTTCTGCCATTGAGGTGTAAATGCAGAGATTGCGAAAAGTATTTAATTTTTTTGTATGTGATTAGTGTTCTAAAGATATCTGTAGATACATAATGTCACTGTAACTCAAATTGTTTTTCATAATTATTTGAAAACACTAGCTGCCTTTTACATTGTGTTAACATTTCATAACTAATAGCCCAAAAGAAATGATCCAAAATCACTTGGAATAAAACTTACTAACTTTGAACCTACAACTTTTTTCCATCACCTAAAAAGTTTCTGTAACATTTTACTATAGGGTTCTGTTCATAAGACTACACGGCACCTACATAAGCTGTTACGACAGCCGACATAACCCTATATAAATGTTAATAAATTCTTTTTCCCAATAGGCGTCAATAACTAACAATTACATTTGCCAATTTTGATCAAAGTTAGCTAAAGTAGCCTTTATGCCAGATAACGCCTATTGTAATAAGCATTTATAAACATTTATGTAGGGTTTTGTCAGCTGTCATGATGAGCTTATGTAGATTTTATGTAGCCTTATGAACAGAACCCTACAGTAAAGTATGACCGAAGTTTCTAATTTGGAGGTTTTGTTATAATGTCAACAACAAACAATAAACAATGATAATCGGTCGCCTCAAACATGGGGTCTATGTCAGTGGTCTACAATAAATTAGTAGATCAGTCAGCTCTCTTTCTCCAGATATTGTCAGCCACCCTACAGCTATGCTACTATTATAATTCTCTGCCAATATAATATATGATGTAGATATTTCTCTGAAGTTTTTGTACAGGGGGACTTTTTACCTTTTGACGTAGGTTTTTTGTTCTCATCTATTCTGATGAGCTTCTTCCTCACACGCCGGGTTGAGCTGACCAGTTTGTGCAGTCTGCGAAAGGCCAGCGACTCCTCCAGCTCATCGTCTGACTGTTCCCGTGACTGCAGGCCAGGAGGGAGAAGGAACAGCTTGTGTTACAGGACTTAACAGCTTGCGCCTTTGGACATGTTTTCAAATAATCGCGAATGCTGTTTTACAGCAACAGTGAATAAAAATACAAAATAAAAACATATTCTTGATATGTTCAGGAGATTACCAGGAAAAGTGTGATCATGGATAACAAAAACAACCAAGAGAAAAAATCAATTTAAGAGCTATGATATAAGGGGACTTTTCAGCTTTTTACAATGAAGTGTTCAAATATAGTCCCAGGCAGCCACAGAGCTACGTGCTCTCCCTTATGTAACTCTGTGGGGTAAGGTCTTACAGCACTGCATCTCAGCAACACTCATCTGCATAGAGAAACTACTGGAATAATAGCAAATGTATAACAATGAGAGAACAGTGATTATACAGTATAAATGTGTGCAAAGTTTGGGCGCCCTGGTCAAATTACATGTTTTTTTAATCTTCTGAGTGAAAATTAGTTGCTACATTATCTACAGAGAACACACTCCTGCACATCTTCAGGCAAAATTACTGTTTATTTGCTCAATTTAACATATAAGAAAAAAATAAAACATGTTTGAACGTTTCAATGGCTGTTCTAATTTTGTACTGTATAGACTACAATACTATAGTTATTAACACTGTAAATTCAAAGCAGACCCCAACAGAAAACAGTAATGAGTCATGCTGGTTTTAACACAGCACATGTTTCTCAGAAGTGTGTGTTTTAATAGCTGCTTACTGGTGAAACCAAATGAGACAAGCAGACTGAAACCAAAGAGATAATTGTCTGTCTCAATAATTCAGCATACCACATTTTAACCTCAGGAGCCTACCATATGTGTTCTAACCACAGTTTGTTTGTTTTTTTCCATTAGGGACAGTAGCAGGCTGGAAATAGTGCTGATGATATGTCAACCACATGTAGCTCTGTTTTAAACATAGGCTCTGTTCACAGGTCAAACCAATTGTGCTTGAAAGTGTTAGTGGTTAAGTGTCTGGTTCTGTTTCCTCTACCTGACGTGTGGCTTCAAAGCACAACTGTAGTTCATCATCATGTACATTCGCCCAGCATTTAGTCATAGAGTCTTGTACCAACTCAGAAACATCAATGCAAACATTAGGCACGCAGCCAATTGAAATTGGTTATGATTCTTTAGGAAATTATGCAGTGCACTGTAAATTCTCAAATTTAACAACTTTTCAAATACTAATTTTATTAGATTATTTTTTACAATACAGATTTATTTTTAAAGACACACTAAATACAACAATGTGACTTCAAACACACAAAACAACACACGACTTTTTTATATTTACATTTGGCCACAAAAACATGAGCCATAATTTACCGAACATTATTAAACTTGACTATCATTGATTATAAAGCATTTTTAAAATCAGTGTCATTTTCGAATCATATTTCTGAGTTATGGAAGAAATACACATAAAAAAGGGAAAAAGATGAAAGAGGAACACAGGGTGACTGTCCAGTGGAATCGGTGGAATGGGCCCTGCAACTGAGCCCCCTAATCACACCATCCCTGCACAAAAGAGCTGCGGCCTGCAGAACCCAGCTCAGGCCTGCATTCAACTGGCCAAAGGACCACAATGGGGGGTTAAAGTATTGAAGGCAATGAATAGAGCTTGGCCTGGAGGCCTTGAGGGGGGTGTGACAAGGCCCTGGGGTGGACCGATGGGATTCAGCATGCTGGGCGGGGGGTGGGGGGGTGCAGTGGTTCACATCCAGGACATGGAGGGGGAGGGGCATCAACAAATGCCTGGCAGAGTGGGTGACATTCCTGCTGAGAGCATGCCTGAGACCAGAGGATGTGTCGCAGCCAATAAACACGCTCATTACAACAAACAAGGATGTAGCACGGCTCATAATACACAGCAGCTATTTACTCCTGTCCACTCTGGGGCTCAATAAAGTGTGAGATGACTCAATGGAGGAAAGAGGAAAAAACACTGCTACTCACGTTGCAGTTGGAGGACTCGTTCATAGTTGGACTGGAAGGGTCAATCCACTCCGTTGTGTCTGTGCTGCATGACTGTCGGCTTTGGGTCTCATACTCTTTCAGCTGGAAAGAGAATATTTCAGTAAGTGTTTGGAGATGCAGTTAGGTATCACAGTCACCATCTGACATAGCTGTAGCATACAGTCAAGTACTGTGGACAAAATATTTCCTGGACACACACACAAAAAAAAACAAAAAAAAACACAGGCAGCGGTGAAGGTTTGGAGCCAAGGTTTTTAATGGTAATAATTTTGTACCTCACAATAATTTAGATCAGCGTCCTAAGTATAAGATATAATTTATAGTAGCCACTAAATAATAAGTGGTAAAACCAATAACATGTAGGCCAGCAGTTAAAAGGGTTAAAGACAAAATCACCAAATCTAATGGAGTTTCCTTGCTAGGGAAATCCTGTTTGGGTTAGAGAAGATGGCCCATTTGGCGGTTGAACAAAGTTCAGATGGAGTAAACTTTAATGGACTTTACCACCAAAGCAGAAATAAAGCTTAGTAAATAAATAAATGGCATGCCCATCTTAAGACTGTGCAAAGTGCACACGCAAAAAGCCCTGCCCATCAAAAAGGTCAGGAACAACAGCTTACCCGAGCCAAAGCCTCCTCTACAGTAATCATCTTCTCCTTCACCATCATCATCAGCTGGATTCGCTCTTCATCACTCATTGTGATCTCGCTGGCAACAAAGCCCAGGTCTTCGCCTGCACACAAGGGTCATACATTTAGGAGGACAAAATAGGGATAGGAATGGGTGTCCAGTTGTGTAACAAAATACCTAGCGTACCTTTTGACATCTGACGCATAGTGCCTTTCTGCGTCTTGCGAAAATTTTGCCAGAAGGATTTATTTTTCTTTCTAGAGTCCCATCTCCCTGCAACAGGAAAGAGTTTCAAGAGAACATAACAGACTGATGTACCAAACAGATACAGGTAAAGCAAAACTCAGTGTTTTTCAACCTAATGTCTATCTCCTACATTTCCAGTGTACAGTCGATTACGGTGAATGATCATTTTAAGGTGCTTCCCTGTACTTCTCTGTAAAAGAGAAGAAAACTAGATGACTCAAAATGCACTTATAATAGAAGTCAGTGGGCAGCCGCTTCAGCACTGCTTCCTTTGTTCTTTATTAAGTGTATGTTGAAATTATTGTCTGTGGTAATCGACTGTATGCTACAGATGCAAAAGAAAGAGATTATCTTGAAAAAAGCTGGGATAAATCAGTGAAAATAGCACTAATAGGATCTAATAATGGGAGTACTTGGCTTTGCTACTAACGTATTAAGCAAGCAAATATACCTGAATTATGACACACAGCATACATACCTCCAGATCCATCTTCCGAGCTCGACTTGTGCATCGACAGCCTAGAAACAAAAGAGTCAGTATAAAGCTCCGCTCTCACTACAGCAGCCAACACACTCTGAGCATCTCTCTCTCACCTGTTCTCCCACATTATCTTCTTCATCTTGTCAAGAACTACTCAAACATTTCCTACAAAAGTATTATTGTCTTTCCATATCTCCAGGAATCAGCAGCTTGCAGTGTCCATAATGCCTGCAGGCCAATGCTATAGTGACCGATCTCCCTGATGAAGATAAAGGGGGGCAGGTTGCTGGCTCCTGGGCCAAACACACCTCACCATAGCTCACTCTAACAATGGAGGCTTTTCACATGCAGTTGAGCTTTTGGTGCAACAGTAGTGCTCACGTGGCCTGTGCATTCCTCTGTCTGTCTGTCTGTCTGTCTGTCTGTCTCTTGCTCTCCCTCTCAGCTGACACTTGCTGCTGATGTCAGTTATCAGCAGTCTGTGCAGCGACGCAGTCCGTGTCACCATGTAAGAGTTCACTACATGTAATGCAGAGAACTGACATCAACCTGCTGCTTGTTTCTGCGATTATGGCGTTTCAAGTTCTACTTCAGTATAAAACTAACTATCACAGGTAAGGAGGTAAGGAGTAAAGAACTGAAGTTACTAGGGGTACAACAATCATTTTTATGGACTATTCTTATAGCAACAGATAAAGACAGTGGCACTGAAAGTTCTAACTTTTCAGGTTAAATGAATGCAATATGAAAGTCATACATAAAAGTGTGGAGATCGGAGAGAAGATAATCCACTTGCATAAAAAAAGGGAAAAGTCAAAGGGAAATAAGTGAAAAAAGGAGCTTCCAAAAGTTCAAAAAATGATTAAAAGATACAGACAAAACGTGTCTCCTAACAACCATGCAAGACCTGGTAGACCACCAAAACTTTCACCATCAGATAAACAGCTTTCATCATTGATACAGAAGAGAAAATCAGGCTCCACTTTTGCTTCAGATCTGAAAAAAATTCACAGATGTTTCTGTCCATCCTCCCACTGTCAGAAGAAAACTCAACACTATGGGTCTGAGAGGATGTCTGGCTGTCAAAAAGCACTATCGAGAAAAAGAAAGACAAAAAAGAAAAGGAAACTGCTGGTGTTCCCAGAACAATGGACTGCACACCCCAGAGTCCAGACCTCACCATCATGAAATGTGTTTGGGATTACTTGCATCATTACAAGCAGAAAATGCAACCAACTATTAAAAGGGGAAAAATACTCCTGAAAAACTGAAAGCAAGTCTCCCAAAAAGAATGGAAGACGTAATAAAAGCAAAGAGTGGACACACTAAATACTGAAAAAAAAACGATATGGCTTTCTTTGCAATTTGTTGACTCTGACCAATTAATTACTTGGATAACATACGTAACAGTTGTTTTAACTGGGTGGTCTCTGACTTTTGCACAGTACTGTAGGCTGGTGGGTAGGCCTAACACATAAACAGACATGGACTCACAGCATTCAAATTTAGCACACACGTACTTAGCTCACATTATTCACATCATAAACATTTTCTAAGCCGCTTCTCCTTTTGGGTCGCGGGGGGTGCTGGAGCCTATCCCAGTAGTCATTGGCCGAAAGGCAGGAAACACCCTGCACAGGTTGCCAGTTCATCGCAGGGCAGACACACAGACATACATTTTCACACATACACTCACACCTAGGGGCAATTTATTATGTCCAATTGGCCTGGCCACATGTCTATGGACTGTGGGAGGAAACCAGAGAATCAAACCCTGGCCCTTCTTGCTGTAAGGCGACAGCACTACCTAAAACCATAACTTGGATTGAAAATTAAAATAAAATCAGCCGACTTTCATTATGCGTTAGAAGTAAATATCAGCTGATTCCAATCTTGGTCAGTTCCCTAGTAGCTGCATACATGCATGATATGTTACACATTGCTCCTAATGACCTGGATACTCATCACCACCTTCTGCTTCCACAAATTCAATCGTAGGAAGGAAGCAGACAGGAGGAAGAGTAATGGGCCACCAGGAAACACATGAGGCATCACCTTCAGCTCACATGACTAGATAAGTTTCATAGATGAGCAAGATACTAGCATTGGGCCTCATTTACCAATATCCTATTTTTTTTTGAGAAAGGTCCTAAGAAAAAGTCTACATCAGATTCATGACGTGCTCCTAAACCGCAAAACTGTTCGCACCTTTGCGCTCTTGAGTGTGTGTAGATTCTGTTCTTAACAAAGAACATATCCAGAGTAAGAAAACATTGGCATGTCAGAATCTTAGTGAAAACTGCGCAAGTGTGTTTTAAGAAAATAATTTCTTCTGAAGAACGGTTGATGAATGAGGCCAATGGTTCCTCACAGTGTATCTCTAGGAACTCAAAATGAATCAAACAGGATACAGCACAATGCAGGAAAAGATGACAACAAGATTGGAAAGGCATGACACCACTTTTTCTGTTTTGATATCAATACTGATATTAAAACCTTGAGTATCGGCCAAATACCAACACTGAATCGAATCTGATGCATTCTTTTTTCCCCCCAATATTTTATCCAGTATTTCTGCTGATATCGACACAGTATTAGTACTTGGTATCAGATCGGTGCCACCTCTACTGGAACTGCATCTAAATAGTGTAACATCACAACCTCCTCATCCGTTATTAAGCCACATACTCACATGTACACTTAAAAAATGTGAATATAACGTTACCTACCTTCTCTCAACCTCAGGAGTTGACACAGCACTGCTCAGGCCCAGCGACTCCTTAAAACAAACAACAAGTCGTAAGTAATACTGACTCTTTTAGTCCGACAAGTGAGAAATCAAAGTTTGTCTGGAATGTGAAGCTCCAGGATTTCTCAGACGCCCACCTGGATTTCTGTGCGCAGCTGAAGTGATGTGGACGTTGATTCAGCCTTCTTCTGTGAAAAAACAGAACAAAAGAAATCCCAAGACATACATTACATTGAATCCAGTGAGCGTTGTTGATATATTACTTCTCTGTGAACAAGATGAACATTTTCAAGTTGTTTCTCAATCATCACTTCAGGATGAAGCAGAAAGGAATAAAATGTACTCACTGTTTCTGCCTCCTGAGACACTTTGCGCTTTCGAAGCTCTTCCATCCTCTCACACACGTCACTGTAAGAGGTGCTGTAATACTCTGAGTACTCCTTGGCCAAGTCCTCGATGTTTCCCAGAGAGCCATCCTACAACAGGCAAGAGCACATACATTTAGCTTCAAGAGAAAATTCATCCACTAGCTTTGCATTTGTATATATAAAAAGCTGGAATAAATGCGACAAATCATCACTGTCAGAAGAAAAAGAAACTCCAATTTTTTCAGTAGGGACACACAATAATATCCCAATGATATTAAATGTTACAGGTTATTGAATCATACAAGATTTGGCCACATTTTTCCTACCAGTGCATCCCTATTTATCAGTGTTTGTTTGTTTATTTATTATTTTTACACCACTGGAAATTGCCAAACGCCCTTTTGTGTGCATTTCATGATGAATGAACCAACATAAATTCTGAAAAGGAAAATCATAACAGTTTTTTAAAGCTATATTAGACATAAATAGATGTAAAGTTAAGAATAAAGTTACCAATAAAGTTACTGTTTCGAACATATGAGGCAAAGAAATGTTACAGGCATTGCATTAACTTGAGATGCAATACATTCTCAAGCTAGTGACAAGCTATTCTTATAAATGTAGCCATAAAACATTAAAAAATTTTGAAGCTCTTCTAAGTGAAGTCCAGATTTCCCATCTCTACGACACAACTCTTCAGCCCCACTTGACCTCAGCTTGACTGAGACGAGGAGAGCTTGCGTATGACGCAGCTGCAGCCAAGAGAGACCTCAACTAAATCAACTCAAACAAAAGTAAGAAGGGAGGAGGCAGAGGTCAAGATAAACTACAGCAGATAGCACAAGTCTCCAACCCTCACTGATAGAAGAGTGACTTCCAGCTATTGTTTTAGGCACAGAGAGCTGATCCTTGTTTTGTGGTCACAAAAAGGCAACACAGCCATGAATCATCTAAGTATTTGCAAACTCATCCCCCAAAATGCCCCCCAATTATTTACGAACATCCAGATGTTTCAGTGAACGGCACTCGATGATATACACTGTTTGGAAATAATTCATAACTAAAGAATGCACCACAAGTATTCAGGTCACACGCTAGGATGTCCTGGATGCACTCACTCAGCCAAAACGTTTCATACAGGAAAAGTATTCATAAGACAGTCATATGTGCCATTAGACGTTCAAAAACTCAAGTTCAAAAAATCTCCATTTGTATAAAAGGCAACTGTGCGTGTCAAGAAAAGCATCTGCGGTTGATGAGGCTCATTAGGCAAAAGGAAGATGATACAGTGATTATGATACTTCTGAATACAAACATTGACTGATATAATTTACAAGCACATTAAAAAGATATCATATGAAAAACACACAAATGTACTTTTAGGCAGTTCTAAAATCTGAAACAAGTTTATGTTGATAATTATGACAAAAGATCAAGATCATAGGAGTAATTCACAGGAAAAACAAAAGATCCATGTAACTCCACTACAAAGATAATCTAAGCTGAACAGGCTTCCCATTTGTGTTACCTTCATTAAAAGCTTAAAATTACACATTTTACAAATGTGACATGAAATAATAGGCATCAAAACAAACCAATGATCATGAAAAAAACTGCCTCAAAAACAAATATATTCCGACTTACCAATATACTCATCAAATGTGCCCACATACTGGAGAAATTACCAACTGCACTGGCATCCAGATGCAAAACCTCATCATTGCTGGTGCTGTCTCTCTCCATGTCAAAAAAATGAATCAACAGTCAAACCCAGATTATGTAGAATTCTTGGGTTTGCTCTAAACCTCACGGAATTCAAGTATGTCTCAATGCATCTCCATTCCGCTGTGAGAAAGTTTGCCAGTAGCTCTTAATCGCTGAAAGTTTGCAGCAGATCCTCATCGTGGCACACTGCTCGCCCATTTCAATGAGCAGAGCATGAAGGGATTTCCATAGGAAACGCTACAGTTGCTCTGTGCAGTCCTCTGCTGTCCAACACACGCCATGGTTTCATTTCAGCATTCATACCCAACACCTCCACTACTGCGCTAACAGATCTACGTTCACAGTGCATCTACAGTAGAGGTAAATCACGGACATGACAGTGATGAGCCTTCACAATACAAAGACTGCTCTCAAGACATATTTTCTGCATCACTGAATGTAATGAAAATAGTAAATTAGACAGTCCTATTCAATGAACCATAAAAGTGTGTATCAGTAGATAGGAATAGCACCTGCAAGGTTTATTGCTCTCTCACAGACACAGAATGGCTTATTGGGCTTGATTAATATTCCACAGAGAAGGCAGAGCAGTGGTGAAAGAATTGGCATTTCAAAGCCGGAGCTGGCTTTAGTCGTAGTAGCATGATGCGCACATCAATGGCCCTCTCAGAGCGCTCCATTCAGCACAGCCTGCACCCTTAAGATGCACAAAGATCGCCACATAATATAAAAACAAACGACACTAGTCGACAAACAGACGAGTCCATTCAGCTATGTAGTAAAACAAATTTAAGCAAGAAACTTGAATTTGAAGCTTTACCTTATTCACATCATTTTTTTCTTGAAACTTAACACTAATGACTGTAGTAGAGTTACAGAACTAAATATAAATAACTAAATAAAAACGAAAGTGCAGCCTTGAAAATGACAGCAAATATTAAGATATTATTAGTCTAAATAACCACCAAGGTAAGTGGTTAATATTCCCCAACATTCCACTAATGTCCTTTTTCAGATGCAAAGCATCTCATGAACCTGGCAACCAACCAAACAACTAACTATAAAAACTAACAAAGTTAGTAATAAAGTAACTAAACAACAAACTAACCAGCCAACCAACCAACCAACCAACAAGCAAGCAAACTATCTAACTAAGCAACCTCCCTCCAATACCCCTGTATGTTTACATATTTAGCAGTCACTGTTACCCAGACTGATGTACAGTGGTAGGGGAATGCAGTGTTAGGAGTCTTGCCCAAGTACTCCTATTGGTGTAGCAATGGCATTCCTAACAGAACAGGGAATCGAACACCAGTCTCATGCGTGCAGGAGGGCATAATAGTGCAATCTGCTGGAATGGCTGTGTGTATCAATCTAGATACAAACAAAACAGAGCCTCACAGAGCACTACTTTAAGTAAATTATAGGTTGGCAATAAAAACCCATACTGTAACTTTTTAATAATCAGCAAATGTCATCACATGCATCTCAACCCAAGACTGGCTTGGGGGAGAGGAAATTTAGATGATGACATGCCAGCACAATCATCAAATTTAAACCCTACTGAGGACAAATGGGGGACTACACTGGAAAATGTGTGGAGAAGAAAAATTCAAAACATTCTGGTTGGTCTCTGGGCAGAAGTGAAGAATGCACGAGAAGCAGTTCCATTAAAAACATGAAAAAAAAAAATAATGAAAGTACAACTAAGCCACGTGAGGTCATCATCAGAGCTAAAAATGAAGCTACAGGATACGTATTGCAAACATATGTCCACGTTTGCATTTCTTTTGTGATCATTACTAAAATCTTTCTGGAGAGAAAGCAGAAAAAATGTAGGTTCAGATCTTCAGACTTTTCATTGACTCCTAACTCCTGTTCCTGTTCAAGGGGATGTTGTTTTTAACCGGGCAATTAAAAACATCCTACTAAAAATGGCCAAGAATGGCACACATGCTTCTTTTCAGAAGGAAAATGCTGTGATTTAATATAAGCAGATACTGAGAGAATCCAGAGAGAGGCGTGGAGTAGACATCTTTCTTCATGAAGCGCTATGAGACATTTCCTTCATTCCTCTCACTGGAAGCATGTGCATTCCTCCTCTGAGAGAGGCACAGGGGTCTCGTGGTGCCACGCTCTGTGACTAGCTCAACTGTCCTCTAAAAGAGAACTATTCATTTGTTAAGTGACATGCCCTTGAGTCAAAGCTGCACGAAATCTGGCTGCTTTTCATCAGTTAAGAAAGGCAGCGGTGGCCAAATGAAAAGCACTGTACTGAGTGCGGCCACATGGAGCTGCCCAACACAGACGCCCTCTGATAAACACTCCATTATGGCCTGATCACATGATCAATTCAGTGTCTCCAATGTGTAGCTCTTTCTTTTGCATGCAAACACCAAGAAGAGAGCAGAGAGCAAGGAAAAAAAGAAACTGCCGCATCAGATTAAAGAGCTGTATTTATGAGCAGCACAGATGCAGCCGTAAGGGTTAAAATGCCACTATAGAGACTATATATCTAAATGTTGTATAGTGGGCATTTATGCAGGCTTCACTGCTTGCCATCCTCTGTAAAATCATGCATATCTGTTGACATGTAAAATAAGTCAGTGGTAAAGAAAAGCCACTACTGAGCATGTCCAAAAAACAGCATAAAGCCACAAGTGCATACAGGACCGATAAACCTCTAGTCAACCTTTTCTTTTCTTTTATATGTTCTTTTGATTTTCTGACTGGAAAATAAGTTACTACATCCTCTACAGGAGGATTACTTTTGCACAGGCCACATTTTATGTTTTATACTTCTCCTAATATGTTAAATTCAGAAAATAATAGTTAAACCATTAACAATTAAAATGTACAGAAGTGTGTTCTCTGTACAGGATGTGTTAAAATCAACAAAACTGTAATGTAATTTGACCAGAGGTGCCAAAACTTTTGCATATGACCATGGGTATCTATCTAATATAGCTTCAATCAGAAATACATCCCAGTATGGAAACAAAAGCCTGATGATTCTAATTCTGATAAGTCTCTTGCAAATGTCTTGTAATATCTGTACATGTTGTAAATCTTTGTAATAAATGTATGATTTGTACAGTTCTGTTGTTGTTCTGCAGAGAACCCATTGAGATTAATCCATTAAATATCCTTATCTGAAATTTGTATTTTTTGTGAGATGTGCTCTATGTCAAATCTAGTCTTTAAAAACAGACTTTAAACAAAACAATAGATCTGATTGTGAATGAAAGCATGAAAATGAAATGTAATCAAAAACACTAAAATGGGTTATGTTAGATTGTCTTCCAAAGTATAACATTTTATTTCCTTATCATATTAAATTTTTCTTGGACATGAATGGGTTAATAAAGTTTATATCCATCTAT